GTAATGGAGATTTCATGACTCAAACTACTGAAGGAGCTAATGCTTTGATAGAAAATATGGCCGCTAGTGCGTCAAACAAAAACGAAGAGATCGACAGCTCCAAGAAGGTGAACAGCATGGACACCAAGAAGATTGATGACATAGCCGCCAAGATGGACCAGCTGCTCAAACATAACCAGAATCAAATCTATGTCTTGGAAGAAGCTTCTCTTAACCCAACTTCCGCTGACACAGCAACGGAAGCAGGAACACTAGATACAGAACAACAGGAGGTCAGCTATGTTAATGGTCAGGGATGGCAGATAAAGAACTTCCATCCAAATCCTAATATGAGGAACAATCAGCACCTTTTCTCATACAAGTCCAACTCCGAAAATCCAAACGACATGTCTCAAGGAAACCAGCCTCAGAACTCCGGATATCAGAAACCGTTTGCACAGAATCAGAATGGAAAAATGTTCGTCCTTAGCCAAGCTCAGAACCACTATCAGAACCGACAGACCAATCCACAAGCAAATCCAGCCAACGCGAACGGTCAGCCAGATGAGCTAAAGGGGATGATGCAACAACTCTTGCAAGGTCAGCATATTCAAGGGAAGGCTCTGAACCAGGTTACCAACGAGATCAACACTAAGATGGATAACATGTTCACGGAATTAAACTCCAAATACGATGCTGTAGCGAGTCACATAAGGAAGATGGATGTTCAGATTGCCAAACCGCTGAAGCTGTTAAGAGACAACAAGGGACACTCCCTGGGAAGACAGACAAAAATCCTAAGGATTGCAATGCAGTTGAGTTAAGAAGCGGAAAACAATTACCAGGACCGATCACTAAGAAACTCTATGCAAAGGAAAAAGGGAAGCAGAAAGAGGGTGAACACCTTGTTCATGAGGAAACTTACGAGGAACACGACATAGAACAGCCAACTGTCTCGGAACCAGCAGCTCCTGCTACACAAGAACAGCCTGTTCCTACTCGTGGATATACGCCGAAGGTTCCTTACCCTGTTCCTGCAAGGAAATCGCGCAAGGATTGTGAAGAGACAAAGTGCAAAAAGATGCTAGAAGATTTGACCGTTAAGCTATCCCTTATGGACGCAATTCAGATGATTCCTTCGATGCGCACACTTATGAAGGGTTTAGTTTCTGGCAAGATTTCTGCCGATAATGACGTGATGCTTATGTCCAAGGAATGCAGTGCAGTTCTTCAGAACAGGCCGGTCAAGAAGTTAGACGATCCTGGAAAATTTGTCCTCTCTGTTCAGATTGGAAAATCAGTGTTCGCTTGCTCCCTATGTGATCTCGGGTCAAGCGTAAACCTCATGCCATACTCAGTTGCAAAACGTCTAGGTCTAACCGACTTCAAGAAAACCCGCATACAACTGGTGTTCACGGATAGATCAGCCAAACTTCCAGTAGGTATTCTTGAAGATCTACAAGTTAGAATTGGCAACACCACTGTTCCAGCCGACTTCGTTGTTCTAGAGCTCGAAGATGAACCAAAGGATCCGCTTATTTTGGGGAGACCTTTCTTGTGCACGGTTGGTGCAATCATCGATGTACGCAATGGAAGAATCGATCTCCAACTGGG